GGTGTGGCTCTGGCTGTGGGGCTGGTGTGGGTCAGGGGCCTGGTGATGGGGCTCATCTCTAGGGTTGAAGAGCTGACTGGACAGTGGGACTGCTGAGTAGGGGGATATGAGGTTGCTTTAGGGCTGGGAAGGGTTAGAGGCTGGCTGAGACTGTGTATGGGGCTGGTTGAAGGACAGGGGGCTGGGGGACTTCTGTAGGGCAAGGAAGGGTTGGGGGTCTGGCTGTGGACCTGGGTATGGGGCAGGGGGCTGGGGGGCTGCTGTGGGAAGGGTTGGAACTGTGGCCATTTGGAGCTGCTGTGGGGCAGAGGGAGAGTTGAGGGCTGGATGTGGGACTGCTTGAGGGAGAGGAGAGATTTTTGGGGCAGGAGTAGGTTGAGGGATCTGGGGCTGCTTTGGAACAGAGGCAAATAGACCTAGGGATACTCTGGGGTAGGAAAGGGACGTGGTAGTGGGACCGGTGTAGGGCAGGGAAGGGTCAGGGTGGTGGGACTGGGAACCATGTGGGACAGCGTGGTGGGGCTGGCTCTGCTGTGGGGCAGGTCTGGGGGAACCCCCAGTGCTCCCAGCCCCCAGACAGGAGCTCAGTGCCCTCCCCTCCTCCCTGCAGGGCCGAGTTCAGGGCCGAGGTGCTGCAGAAGAAGCGGGAGGAGCGCCTGGGCGGGGAGAACTCCGCGGAGCTGCTGGAGGATCACCGGCGCCTGATGGCCTGGAATGACGAGGAGAACGCCCGGCAGCGGGCACGCAGGTCAGCGGGATCCACTGCCCTGCGTGGCTTTGGCTTCTGCTTGTGCAGATCTAAACTCAGTCAGAGCCAGGCTTAATTCTTGTGAAGACCGTTGACCTAAATCGTGACCTTTTTTAATGAATCTGCCAACGCAGCGGTTCCCGCGCCTCTTGAGGCTGAGGGGCGAGTTAAGGGGCTCTGGGCAGCTTCCTGCTCTCCTAAGGATGGGAGTGTCACCTCGACCATCAGGTTTTTGTCTTCCCTTCTGTCTGGCAGAGAGGAGAGACTCAGGAAAGAAGCGGAGGAAGAGAAGAAGAGGAAGTTGGAGGTCATGGAGAAGCAGGCCAGGAAAATGGAGGCCTTCATGAAGGAGAAGGAGAAGGAGGTTCTCCAGCTGCAGGTAAGAGCAGCTGGTGCCTCCCGGGGGACAAGCTGCCAGCAGTCCCTGCGAGGGATTTGCTGGCAGCCCGTGGGAGCCATGTGGAAGCCGTGGGCTTGTTTTCCGGGGACCTTTCAGTTGGTAGCTGGGAGCGCAGAGCGTTGGCGCCTTCCAGGGGCGCTGACAGCGTGTGGATGGGAGAGAGGCTGAGCCAGAGCTCTGGGAACGGGGGGGAATAATCCCGAGGGGATAACCCTGAGGGAATAATCCCTGTCCTTGGTTCAGGAGGAAGCCAAGAGCTTCATCACCCCCGAGAATCTGGACGCGCGGATCGAGGAGTGCCTGGATAACCCACGCAACTACAACTTCGCCATCGACAAGGACGGGCGGGTCGTCAAGCGCACGATGCTGTCGTAGCAGCCCCAGGATGGGGCTCCTGGCCCACTTTGTGCCCAGAACCTCCCCCCACACCTCCAGAAGACCTGGAATTCTTCTTTTTAGTGTATAAATTGACCACGGAAGTGGTGCAGAAAGGCTGCAGGGTCTGGCTGTGCTGCTTCCGAAGGGCGGAACGCCTGCGGGAAAGGGGGCGAGGGTGGAAAACTTGGGCTCTTTGGAGGCTCCAGCTGCCTGGCTCAGCCCTGTGTGGCTGTTGCTGTGCCTGTGATTCCACCTCCCACGAGTTTGGATCCCTGCTGCCTTCACACGCAGCGTGTGGGGAGAGAAGCAGGAGCGGTCCTGAGGCAGATCCTGGCTCTGAGCTCCGTGCTGTCAGCCCCTCTGGATGCTTCCGAAGGCAAACGAGGGCTGAATGGATTTTTAGGGAACACTTGCCCTCGTCTTTTTTTTTGTTGTTCGGTGAAAGGATTAATTGTTCCTCCTGATTTCTGCTGGGCTGGAGGGGCCTGTCATCCCTCCAGCTTTGAACCCTCCTTTGCACATCCCTTGGTGTGGCTGAATGAGAAAATATGTCTGAATGATCTGAGGTTTTTGGTGTCTCCTTATTCCCCACCTTCAGCCTTATTTTACTCATCACCTGGTGTCGAAGGTGTAGATCAAACTGTAATGACTCTGGGTGTTCTGGGTTGTTGGGGTCTTGCAGACTCTCAGCTTTGCCCTGAAACTGCTGGGTTTAGGTTCAGCCAGAGCCCAGGCTGACTGACCACAGGTCCCTCTGCCCTCCCTCCCTCAGAGAATTCACCTGAAATCCTCACTTTTTACCTCCACTTTTCCTAAAAATGTCTTTTTCTCTCCTCATGAGCCCACACCCAAACCAGGCAAGAACACAAAAGCCACAGATTTCTTTTAGGGTTGTTCTTCTGTACAAGTTTTATTTCTATTTAAGCTCATCACTCCAGGCTGAGTCACAGCCCTCAGCTCGTCTATTCCCAGCCCGAGGCCAGGCTGGGATAGCGGGATGGAGATTTGGGATCCTGTGGGTTCTGTCCTGGGTGGGCTACACGAACAGCAGCTCTTGGTCACAGGATGAGTCAGTCCCACAACCCTCTGTGAGGGGAGAGAGGGGGGAGTGTGGTGTGAAAGCAGAAACCCCCCAAAACAGTCCCCAGAGACCTCCCAAACCAGCCCCCAGGGACCCCGTGGTTCTGGGGTTTAATGAGCTCAGGCTCCCACCGTGCTCCCTGGCATTCCCTGGGATTAGTAGTGGGTTCTCTGGTAGTTTAATTTAGGGCGGAGGTTGGGATTTTTGGAAAACCCACGAGAGCAAGAAGGGATGTGGGTTGCTGTACCCCACAAGGAGTGCTGCCATGCCCCATGGGAATCCTGCACTTGCTCGGCCCCCAAAATTCGGTTGCCGTCTGCTTCCCTCCTGCCCCAAAACCTCCCTGAAGGGTCTGATATCCCTTCCCTGGCATCGGGATAAATCTGGCATGGAGCAGGGGGGGCCAGATGAACTGACACATGGGTGGGACCAAGACGATCCCTTGGGCATCCTCCCCTCTCTCGCCCTCCTGTATAACCCCAAACTCCTCCCAGGAATGGTGCGAGGCCCCCGTGACAGGAATCCCGGGATCGCCGGGAGGTCCCGGGACTCGCTCACCGGTGCTGCAGCAGATGCCGGGGGCGGCGCAGCTCCCGCCGGTGCCGCAGGGTTTGTGTCCCGACTCGCAGGGGGCGGGCAGGAAGTTTTCCTCCTGGCAGCGCAGGGTCTCGGAGGTGCCGATGTAACAGCCCAGCTCCTCCCCGCAGCAGATGTTGGGCCCGAAGCAGTGGCCCTTGTTCCGGGGGCCGCAGGGCAGGCACTGCTCGGGGGAGGGAGGAGGAGGGGGGGAAAGAAGGTTGGGAAGAAGGGAAGGATAGGGTTAGGGATGCTCCATCCCCGCCAGGACCTACCTTCCTGATTTCCATGTCCGTGACGGCGCGTTTGCCCCCGATGGGGCAGTTCTGGATGTAGCAAGCGGAGGAGAGAGCCAGGAGCCCCAGGAGGCAGAGGGCCAGAGCCTTGCAGGACATGATGGCGGCGGGACGGGGAGAGTTTTTTTGGATGCTCATCCCCAACCACCGCCCCTGTATTTATAGTCCCGGCTCCTACTTAGGGATTCTGGGCACCGGCGTCACCTGTGCTCCTTAAAAACCACAAGGCATTGCTTCCCACACCGGAGGGCTGGGTTAATAGCCGGAGGTCGAGGACGTGAGGGCAAGGCCAAGGTGTTGGTTTGCTCCTCGCTGACGGCTCCGACGGCCGCAGCGGGAACGTGCGGAGGCTGCGGATGGACTTTGGGGCTCAGAGCCCTTCCCTGCCAGCCCTGCTGAGCTGTGGTGTGTCCCTCCATGTCCTGCTGGGAGCCCCTCTGGCATGGGGAGGGTGGGGATGAAGGCAGGCAGATGTGAGTGGGATTGTGTCCACCCAGGAGCAGGGTGAGAGGGGCACGTGCGTCCCTTGGCTTCGAATCCCTTCAGGTGGGTGGAAAGCAAACATGTCTCCTCCTCTGGGATCATCTGTGGGATATGGGGTGGGAAATACCCTTCTTGGTCCTGTCCACCCACCCCTGCCTGGCCTTTGGGGGATGCTCAGCACTGGGCTAGTCCCGCTCTTGGGATAGTGGTGACACCCAGCCCATCCCCACCCATCCAACAGCACCACAGCCACCTGAAAACACCAGACCTCCCGGGCAAAGACCTGAAATCCCACACTTCCCCACTGTTTCTCCTCTGAGCTGCCTGTGGGGATGGAATGTGGTGCCCTGAACCACATCATCAGCACATGAAGGCCCCCCGAGGACAGGACTGAGGAGTGACGCAACCGCCCAGGGCCCTGCTGGCCCCGGCCCCTCACCTTCGTTATCCCAATTAGGAGCTTCCCCCGCTTGAATAAATTTCCCTACCGTGGACAAAACTTACTGTCCATCGAGATCATTACCCTGCACTGGCTTAATTGGGAATTAGGCAGCCTGGAGCCTGAGAGTCGTGACCTTTTCCCGTCCCTCTGGCTTTGCTTCCAAATCTGCCACTTAGCGTGTCCGGTGTGAGGGCAGCCGGGTCCCTGTCACCCACCTGGGGTCAGTCCTGCTCCCTGGGGACAAACCAGGCACTGGGATCTGTGTTAATGGGTTGGAAATGGGGCTCAGCACCTGCTGTGGGCTGTCCCAGCAGCTCAGCTCCAGCTGTGGCACAGGATGGAGGGGGGCAATTGCCATCCTGGAGCCCCTGTGGCTGCTCCAGGGGGTGCCTGGACCCCCCCAGGATGTGTACTGGGAAGACGAGGGGGAAAAAAACCCACCAATTATCAGCCCCTGGTGCTTTTGGGGACTCAACACCTCGATATTGAGGCTTCTGTCAGCTGGAGCGTCATCCTGGCTCAGCCACGTCCCCGGTGCTTCAGGAATGTTGGGGTTCACATACCATGTCTGGGAACAGTCTGAGTGCCAGGGCTGGGCTGAACAGCCCAATTCCTTCGTCTCAGCATGGAGCCCCCTGTCCCTGCTGCTGTGGCCCCTTTTCCACCGATTTTAGGGTGATCCCATCCCCACAGGGCTGGGATAAGCTGCAGGGAGCAGGGGCTGGATCAATCCTGCACCCCCTCTGCATGGTGCTGGGAGCTGGCAGGATGGATCCCGCCGGTGTCAGGGAGCTCCACCTCCTCGGAGGTGCCACCTCCCTCGGGGACGCTATAAAGGACCAGCTGTCCCCTGTGCTGTGTCCAGTCCCAGCCAGGGGAGAGCTCAGAGCAGGGACCCCGCAGGGTAAGAGACCTGGGACAGGGTGGGGAGGGGGTTGGGATAACAGTACCCCAAATTTGAGGGGGTGGCAGAGGGATAAAGGGGAGACTGATCCTGCCTCTCGGTGTCCAGAGGGGAAGTTTGGTGAGTGATGGTGGGGAAAGATGAGACCAGCCCAAGGGGGTGTTTGGAGCTGTGAGCCCCAACCTTTCTGCTCTGGGGGCGTTTTGGGTGTTTTTCCTTGCTTTTTTATCATTTTCTAGCAGATGCCGTGCTGGTTCCTGAAGGCAACAAGACCCCGAATCTGCCCCAAAGAGGGACTTGGCCAAGAGGTAACGTGATGGTGGCACATCCCAGACATCCCCATTCTCCCGGGGATGGGGGTGCTGGGAGGCTGAGCACCCTTGGGTGCTGCTGGGGCTGCTGGGAGGGACTTGGCGGCCCTTGATCCCAAAGTCCAGCCCTGCCTGCGCTCCTGCTGCAAGAGCGAGGCCAAATCAGGCACCCAGCCCAGCCAAACCACCCGTCCTCATTGGGGATTTGGGGAAGGGGACGGGAAAACCCTCCACAATCGCCCCATCCTTCATCCCCAGACGGGTCCCCTGGAGCCCCCGGGACCCACCCCCAGTGCCCAGGACAAAGCCACCACAGTGCACGAGGACTTTTATTGGGTCTCGTATGTACAGTGCCGGGAGGGGGGGGGGTCGGTGAGGGTGGGGGGGTCGCCCCATGCCCTGGCTCAGAGGAGGGGATGCTTGCCCTGCTGCTGCTGCTGCTGCTGCCGGTTCGCCAAGTGCATGAGCTTGAGGAGCAAATCTCCCGCCGAGCCGTCCAGCACCGTCAGGTTCTTCTCCGCCTCCTCCTGAGCCCCGTCCCCGCCCTCGTCCGGGCAGGCGGAGTCCATGGAGCACGTGTCTTCAGCGGGAGGAAAAACGTGGGGATAGAACGGGTTATTTAGGACCCCGAGAGGTTTATTTTGTGCTGGGGAAGGGGTTGGTGGCAGCTGGGGTTGGGAGGGAATCTGCACAGCTCGTGCTTCAGTTTTGTGGCTCCCCGTTAGTCAGGAATGGGGTTGGATGGGGAGGGTTTCCTGGTGCGCTGGGGAGGCTGAGTGTGCCTGGCTGGGAGAAAGCTTAGGGTGGTGGGTCGGGAAGGAGCTCCGAGCCCAATCCTTTAGAATCATGGAATGGTTTGCGTTGGAAGGGACTTTAAAGCCCATCCAGTTCCAACCCCTTGCCATTGGCAGGGACACCTTCCACTAGCCCAGGTTGCTCCAAACCCTGTCCATCCTTGGACACTTCCAGGGATCCAGGGGCATCCATAGCTCCTCTGGGCAACCTGTGCCAGGGCCTCTCCCACCCTCGCAGCCAACAATTCCATCCTTATGTCTTCCTCGAATTCAACTATCCAAAAATGCCTCCAAACGGAACCAACATCGCCCCCACCCCCTGACTCAGTTTCCCCTCGGCAAGGTTAAACCCCGGCAGCAGACCAGGCTTAAACTTGCTTTCTGCCCCACGCCCTTGTGACCCCCCAAAACCCCGCATCCCGTCACCCCAGCGGTCCCGGCAGCCCCGTTACCGGCGGTGCAGCAGATCCCGGGCGCGGCGCAGCGGCCCCCGGAGCCGCAGGGCTGCCCCCCGGCCTGGCAGGGTGAAGGCAGGTAGTCTTCCTCGGCGCAGCGCCGCGTCTCCGCCGTGCCCAGGTAACAGCCCAGCTCGGCGCCGCAGCAGATCCCGGGCCCGAAGCAGTTCCCTCTGTTCCCGGGGCCGCAAGGCATGCACTGCGGGAAGGAGCTGCCTGAGTCCCCCTCCCCCGGTATCCCTCGGCAGGGTGGACCCTGCACCCTCCTGTGTTAGAAAGCAGTTGCCCAAAACATCCCCTTTTCCAGCCCTCGGGGGTGCCACGCTGGCTCAGGGCGAACCGCCTTGTCCCTGCCACCTCGTGCTGCGGCGCTGGCCCCGCTTTGGGGGGTCCCCGCTGCCCTTCGTGTCCTCCCTGTCCCTTCTCCACGCGCTGTCCCGTCCCCCTGCTCCCCTTCTCCAGCGGGATGCTTTGCTGCGGCCAAGTTTGAGCTCGTCCTTGAGGTGCCAGCAGCATTTCGGGTGCTCGTTCCTCCGCCGCTCCTCCCTTGGGCACGTCCCCCAGCCATCCCAAAAAACCCCGCACCGCTCCGGGCAGTGTGGCACGGCCAGTGGTGCCAACAGGTGCCGAGGAGCCTCCGCACCCCCGCAGAGCCGCTCTGCGCCCTCCAGAGCCCCGTCCCCATTCCCCGGGGCTCCCACCCATCCCATCCCGTACCTGTCGGAGGGCTGTG